ACTATACTGCCAGTAAACATAAAAAAGAAAATGGCAAAAATACTGTAAAATAAACTGTGAGGTAAAAATTAGTTGACAGTAATAATAATAAATGCATAAAATAAAGCAAGGGAGAAGGGAAAGGGAAAAAGAAAGCAGAAACAATGTTTAAAAGAAGTGGAAAAAAAACAAAAGTGAAAGATGTGAAGAGAAGACCAAGAGAAAAAACTGATTACAAAATAAAAAAGTGCAAGTAAAATTAGAAAAAGTAAGTAAAGGAATGACAGATAAAAACAAAATATTTAAAAAAATAAAACAGGGTAAAAACTTTAGTAAAACATATAGTAAGCTGAGTATAAATAAGGTCCTGTCTTAGTTATTAGAACTCATTAGATCAGTTTTTTCCTTGAACTTCAGTCTATCCATCCATAAACAAGTAGGATTGGAATTTGTCCATTAAAAATTTAGGGCTGGAGACATGGCTCAATTGATAGAGCTCTTGCCTTGCAAGCTTGAAGCCCTGAGTTCAAACCCCAGTACTGCTGAAATAATAATGATGATGATGATAGCAGGAACAGTAATTTAAAATTTAGAGCCAGGCATGGTAGCTCATGCTTATAATCCCTATCCTACCAAGGCTGAGACAGGTGGATTATGAGTTTGAGACCAGCCTGGGCTATATAGTGAGATCCTGTCTTTTTTTTTTTTTTTAAAGAAAAAATAAAAAAGAAGAAAGTAATTAAAAAAGAAAAAGTTTAAATGACAAAGAATTGTAGAAGTTTCTTTTTTTGTCCTCTAATGTTAGAATCTGCCTAGTTGTGTGGGGGCGGGTGAGGGGGTTGTAGTGAGTCATAGCTGAAATCTATTGTAGTTCTTTCTGTTCAAGCTGGTGCTAAAAGTGAACTGAGGGTCAGACCCATCAAGGACCAGCTGTCAGCTTCAGGGTTGCATTCACTTTAGAAACCTTTGTGTACTAGGCCCTCTGTTGACCATAGCAGGCTTTGCAGAATGGACAGATCCCTACTCACTCCAGAGGCCCCCAGTTTATGTACCCAGGGGTCACAAATGTCCCAGTCTAGAGATGTCTCCTGAGTGTGTTTGGAGAGTGGGGTAGAAAACAGAGTTCTGAGATCTGCACTGTAGGAGGAGAACTAAGGGACCTCAGCACTCTGCCTTCCAGTCTTAGTATTTTTTAACCCCCCCATCAAAGTTGATCACCCTATGGGAGGGCAGAGAAAATAGTGATCCACAAGATCTGGGCTCAGACCTCTCAGTCCTAACCAAGCTCATTACATTTCTAGCAAGCAATCTTCTGGCCAAGGGCTTAAGAGCAGAGCTGTAAATCTCTGCAGTAATACACAGGCAGTGGAGCTCATTCATCACCACAGAGGGTGGGGCCAACCATCAAGGCATCCTTCACAACCCAAGCTCCCTGTTGCTTTGACTACTCAGCAGGTCTGTGTCTGACCCTCTCTCTCTCCACAAGTGCCTCTTGTGGCTGTCTCCCACAAGACATTGTGGTGGATGTTCCAGGCTCCTGATTTGTGATTGTTCCTTGTTTACAGGTCCCCAGAAGAACCTAGTCTCAAACAATAAGTTCCACTTCATAATGACACTTAGCTGTAAGACATGGGAGCAATGCAATAGATTTCTTCTGCAATGCTGGCCTGCCATGCAGGAGTCGCTGTCATCCTACATCCCTCCCTGGATTTGAGGTTTTCAAGAACTGTGGGTTTCTCCTGTGGCTCGAACTGCCAGTCTGTTGTCACCAGGGCTACCTGGCTTACCTTGTGGTTGTAACTTCAGGCTCTCTTCTCAGGGAGCTGGAGTTGGAGCTGCAGGCAGTTTCCTACCTTCTCTGTATAGCCTTCCTTTTCTCTGTGCTTTTCAATTGTACTGTCACCTCTTTCCTGATTACCAATGTACTTTCTGTTTTTGGAATATAGTTTGCTCTTTGTTGCTCTGACTCATCATTCTTGGAGTTGCATGGGGGAAGCTTCTAATCTGCCATTTTACCCTTGAAAAAAGGATGGCAGTCTTTTTTTTTTTTTTAATTGATGGCAGTTTTAATGTGTAGGCTTTGCTGCCTTTCCTTTAATTTGAATCCATCTTTTTGTCTAAAAATAGTTTAATGTCTGATCTCACCCAAGAAGTCCTATTTAGTAGCATCAATGTAAAGAAGTTTGTCATGTATTAGAATCTTGTAATTTGAATTAGATAACTTTGGGATTGATATGTTATTCTGGATGTTCTAAAGAACTGTTATGTTAGCTAGGGAGTATACATTAGCCCTGTAAATTCTGAAGCTTACGCGTGTCTCTCTGCTTTCTATGATAGTTGGTTTCATGTCATAGAACCCAGCGGTGTTTTTTAAATTGAAATGTATGGTTTGTAAGCTATTATTCCAAATGTAATAGTTCTCCCTATCTATTGGTACATGTTCCAAATGGATGCCTGAAACGCCAGACAGTATAGAACCCTACATATACTATATTTTTTTCCTATGTGCTCTGCAGTGTTGTCATATAGTGCCAGAGTTCATCTGTCCTTCCATGTTTTATACCCTGGACCCCCCTTTACATCATTAGTCTTTGGAGCCATTACTAAGTAAAGTACTTGTTATATGAACGCAGGCACTATGATACCATGACAGTATCTGATAAATCAAGAAGGCTGTTAAGTGCAGGTGGGTGGTGTAACAGTGTGGATAGCTTGGACGAAGGGATGAATCATGTCCAGGTGGGATGAAGCAGATGTGAAAGATTTATTCATACAACTTAGAACAAACAGCATTGCCACAATTTAAAATTTTGAATTGTTTATTCCTCGATTTTTTGACTTAAGGTATTTGTACTGTGGGTAACTGAAATCACAGAAAGTGAAACCACACAGAAGTGACTCTTGTAGTAATCGCTAGAAACCTGCCTGTAAAGCATAGCCATTTCTTAGTGTTATATGAATTTCACCATGAAAAAGCTTATCAGTAAGATGAGTAGCTTTTAAACCTCTTATGTTCACTGGAAACAGACATAGGCACCTGCTTTTAACTTTAGTAAGGATGAATAAACTTGCTAAATGAATCTTCTTTTTAAAAAGTTATTGAGGGTTGGCAGAATGGCTCAAGCAGTAGAGTGCCTGCTTAGTAAACATGAGGACCTGAGTTCAACCTCCAGTATCACCCCCCCAAAAATAATAATTAGTTCATTTCTGTCTTTTTCCTCAATGTTTTAATTTTAGTGTATAAATACATGTATAAGTTTTTTCTTCCTTGTGGTGCTGGAGATTGAACCTAGCACATGCATCCTCAGCCCTCTAGAATACCTTTTATATTTATGGTTGTTTACCTTGATTAATGAGATAGAAAGAGGCTGAAACAGGAGGTTCCTGAGTTTGAGGCTAGTCTGGGCAAAACACCTAGTGAGACCCTGTTTCAGAAAAGCAAAAAACTATCATATGGATAGAAATTTCTTATTGAAAACATACAGTATATTTTTATAGGCTCCTTATACTATGATACGAAAACATTATTTTATTACATTCATACTCCTTTCTTTTTGAGTCAGTCCTGTGGGCATCTAAGTCCATTCTTTGTGATACTCCTAGTCTAGTTTTTCTCAACTTTTTTCTTTTCATTATCACCTTTCCTCCCCAGGAGAAAAATTTAATTTAATTTTTCTATAACAGGAGGAAATAATACTAAGGAATAAGACTTATTTGTGATCAGGCATGGTAGTACATGCCTATAATCCCAACACTTGGAAAGCTGAGGCAGGACTATCTCAAGTTCAAGGCTAGCCTGGGCTACATAATGATACTCTGTCAAAAAAATAAACAAATAAACAACTTATTTGTTGTATTGAGCTTTATTTAGAAGGCTACTAACCATTAAAATACCTAAGATTTTTATCTTCTAAGAACCAGTTTTCATTACCCTTAGGACATTTTTACCCTTATTAAGAGTGTTATTTCCTATTCTAATATAGGCTTACTTTATATGAGAACTGAGATGTCTGGGTTGCTGAATTTGATAACCTTGAGATGTAGATAAAATTAATCACTCTTAGTACTTAAGTATATATCTCCTAAGAGTAAGGAAATTCTCCATAACCACAATGCTATTATCACGCATAAGAGAAGTAACAATCAGTAATGTGTGGTCCTTGTTCTGATTTCTCCAGCTATCTTTTATAGCTTTTTCCCCTCCTCAGAGTTTAGATGTGTAGTTAATATCTCTTTAATTTCCTTCAATTCAGAGCAATCTTCTTTCCTTTTTTGTTTTTCCTGGCAATGGCTGTTTTTCTTTTTTTTTTTTTTTTTTTTTGCTTGGTGGTGCTGGGCCTTGTACATGCTAGGCAAGTACTTTACCTCTGAGTTATAGCCCTCATTTATTTTGAAGTGAGTAAAAACATCTTGTAAAGTGAAGACTTTTTTTTTTTTTTGAGGCAGGGTCTTGCTATGTAGTCTAGACCAGCCTCAAATTCACTATCCTCTTGCTTCAGTGCTCAGATTATAGGCGTGAACCACCATACCCAACTGTTGAAATACTTTTTAATAGACTAAATATATGTTTTATAATTGTGTGTATGGAAGTGTTGTACAGAACTAGAAAAATAAATAGCAAATTGGTAACAGTAAAGACTTCTGGAGTGGCTATAATAGGGGTCTTGCTTTTTATTTTATATGTTTTATTTTTTTAAAAATAAGCATGTATTATTTTATTATTATTGTTATTATTATTTGGCAGTACTGGTGATTGAACCCAGGACCTTGCACTTGGCTAAGCAAGCACTCTACCACTTGAGCTACACCCCCAGCTCAAAAGCATGTACAATTTTTTTTAGCAGAAAAGGAAAACCCAAAATTAAGTGAAAAAGCCAAAAGCAGTCACATTTTTGAAAAGCTAATGGATATGGGTTTGAGAATGGCATATTTGTTAAACATCACAAAGTTCTTTGTAATCAAAATTATTTGTCTTCTAGGGATTCAGTGATATATTCATTCTTTGTTGTTGTTTTCTTTAGTCAGTATTTACAGGATGAAAGTAAGACCAAAAGAAATATTGATCTGAATCTTTTAGAGTGGACCCACTACAGCATGAAGTCACATGTAAGTGGCAGTCATCTGTATTTGCCTTACTTTGTTGCATTTACTGACAGTATCATATTTTTTCAGACTTGGGTTCCTTCGTCCCCTTACTTCACTCATTTGCGTAAGCATGCATTCTCCTAAAGTATGCATCTTTGCCTTTGTTTTGGGTCTTTTTTTGGTGCTGAGAATTGAACTTTGGGCTTCAAGCACACTCTACCACTGAGTTACAACCCTAGTTCTAAAATCTATCTCTTGAGAATGACCTACTTCTGAATCTTTAGCTATTGACTTAACCAAGATAATCACTTTTTAGCTTTTATCTTTAAATGTAAATGTTAACTTTATTGTTTTGGGAAAACCCAGTCACAGTGTCTGAGAATTGGCCCCAAGGTGCTATGAGACTGAAGAAAGAAGCATACAGACAGATCCAGGATTGCACAGAGTGCAACTTATTGGGGACTTACTGACAGACACATGGTCCTTGATGGCAACAAGACCAGTGGATCCCCACTATTTGGATCAGATGGAGGGAGCTTATGAAGTGGTCAGGACAGCAGTGACTTGGTTAAATCCAGAATGTATCTGGTTTACCTCAAGCTGATATCGAAGATTTTAGGCACATTCCTTGCTCGTACTGCATCAGGATTGTTATAAAGCTCTCATACCACTTTAGTGGCATTGTCTGTTTATGGTATACTAGGAAACTATGTGGGGGAAAACTGACCAGGGCTACTATAAGGGGCAGTTACGGTAGTTGTAACTCATAATCGCCGCAATCATTGTCAAGCTGAATTCTGATATATTTGCTAGTACGTCTCATAGAATCAGAAAAAAAAAACCAAATCAAAGTCAACTATTTTTCCTGGTTGGTGCTAATGAAAGTCTAAAACTCCTTTCCAAAATTTACCTGGGATTTGTTTATTTAGGTTGTGGGGTTCCATGTCATGGACCAAGAGCCAAACATGCTGTTGTGAATGTGCTTTGTCTCTTACCAGATTTGAGTTTCAGTTCAGGGATTGAAAACACATCCATCTTTGAGTCCTAATGGCTTCCCTTTAAAGTAAGCTTCAATTTTAGCCTTAGCCTGACTGACGGCTCAACTCTCTTTATCCAAAAGTTTTTTCATTTCTAAATTAAAGAGTTTGAAAGTGAAGTGTTGAAATTTCCTGAGGAGTAGACAGGGGTAAGTAGAGGCCATGAGAATGAATACTGTGTTGTGGTGTGAGAAGCGTCGTAACGAAAATAGTACTCTTCCTATGTAGATTGGAATCTATAGTTCTGTCTACTCTGAGTAGGAGCCTTGAGGAAAAGTATGAGGGATCTGGCATGTGCATGGGTGCTGTGCATGTTCCATCTTTTCTTTTTTGCAAAACCAACTGCATTTCTTTTTCTTTTTTTGGGGTTTTTTTTTTTGGCTATACTGGGGCTTATGCTTGTTAAGCAGGTTCTCTACCATTTGAGCCATACCCTCAGCCCTTCACTTGCAGTTTTGTGAATAAAAGGTGTCATTGTCATGGAGCAGGTTGTTTAGCAGTGGGGTCAGCCTCTCCCATACTCTTAGCCTCCTGTATTCCTTTGACTGACAGCCCAAGTGTATAAAGGGCTGCCTGAGATAAAGGCAGCACAGGCCTGCGCTTCTGTTTGAGCTTTCTTCATGTGGGTTTTGAAGCAAGTTATATTTCTGCTTCAGGAACAGAACTGGGCATTCAAGGCAAGGTCCTAATTGATTAAAGCCTCTCAGAAGCATCTTTCTCTGTGTACTTGAATATGTTAGGCCCCACACAGTAGGCCTGTAGCAGTGAACAGTAGCCTCTGCGGTACCAAAATAGTATAGTTATAGTTTAAGCATATCAGATTCACCCACACTTAACCTTTTTAAAAGTCTATAGTTGCCTCTGAAATAATTCTAACAAGTATTTTTGTTCCTGGTCATAAGTCTTGCAGTTTCATTTCTTTCCTTCCCTCTCTCCTTCGTGCCTCATGCATGCTAGGCAGGTGGTATACCACTGAGCTACATCCCTGGCACTTGGTTTTTCTTCCTTGAGGGAGAGTTGGAATTCTATAAACATTTTCTGTGGGCTACCATACTCCATGGTATTGTTGGGGTTTTTTACAGCACATAGATAAAAGTAATTGTAGTTGATGTATATCTGTGCAATATCACATTCAACATTTATCTTTGTAATACCTTTCCCACAGTGAGATACAGAAAAAGTCTAAGGAATTCATATTTACTGATATTTTATCCCTTCTTCCCTTCTGTTTTTGTAATTTTAGGAGATTCCTCAACAGTTGAATGGGAGTGACTGTGGAATGTTTACTTGTAAATATGCAGATTATATTTCTAGGGACAAGCCTATCACATTTACTCAGGTGAGTGAGAATTCCTCAGTTACTTACTATGCAAGCTAAAACACTTTGCCAGCTGGCACACTTCGGATTCTCAGGTATATTAGTTGCTCTGCTAAACCTTGGGCATAGCTATGCTCTTGCCAGAATCAGTGTTTGTCATAGCATCTATTCTCAACAGTTATCCTAGTCTTTGGTGACCAGTGGGATAACTTGCTTGTCTATGAACTCCCATTGCTCATTGGTCATGCGTGTTACTATCATTTTTAGCTAAAGAGGCAGGCATGTGAAAATACATAATGCAAGGGGAATCCAAGCCTTGTGAGGATGTAAGCCACAGGTTTAAGATGTCATCATAAATTCTGCTTTTCCTTTCCCTTCTCTTCTGGTTAGTGTTGGGTTCTCCATGGCTCTGCATTTAAGTGGAAACTAAAGTCTATTGGGTCGTCTTGAGAATTTCTGTTTGTAATAATAGTGGATTCTCAACCTTTTTATCAAGGTTAACCCCAATTGAAAATATTTCTCATCACCAAACTCTGTTTGATAGATGTAGTCTGACAAACAAACTGTATTTATTGAATAGTAGAACCCCATTCCATACTTGGGAGGAACATGAAGTTATTACTGCCCCATTCTGAATTCATAGAATTCCAATCTAAAATAAAGCACTTATTAGTTCATCAGTTAATCTTAGTTTATTCTTTTACTAAAAATAAATGAGTTTTTTTTAAACTATTTTAAATAATTTGAGAATCTTGTTAAGATTTTTTGCCACATAAACCTGCCAGAAACTCATTTGTAGTTGATGGTACAGAGGTATGTTCAACTATTTATAATGATGCATCATGAATACCTCAAGGGTGGGAACTTCTGATTTCATCAAAAATTCAGTTGAGTTGCAGGTAGGACTGGTGTCTTGTGTTTTGTTGCTTTGAAAATTGACCCTTACAGTGACTATCAGTGGAAACAGTACTGCATTAAGTATGCCATCTCTCTTGCTCTCTCTGTTTTTTATGGTGCTGCTAATTGAATTTTGGGCCTTGTGCATGCTAAGCAAGTGCTCCCCAACTCAAGCTGTGCCTCCAGCCCTTATGTTTTTATTTGTTTTGGAGACAGGATGTCTCTGCTGCCTTTGCCTGGGGTGGGCTCAAACTCATGATCCTCCTGCCTCTACCTCACAAGTAGCTGGAATCACAGGCATGTGTGCTTTCTAGGCAGGCACTTTACCATTTGAATCATGTCTCCAAAGTTTTTTTTGTGAGACAGTGTCTTGCTATGTAGCTCAGGCTGGCCTAGAACTTGAAATCTTCCTGACTCAGCCTCCCAAGTACTGGGATTATAGCAGTGTATAACCACACTCTTAATTTGATGCTACTAAATATAAACTTCGGAGAGTTGATTGTTCTTTGGAGCTAATGACATGAGATTTCATGGGGAGAAGCTGTGTTTTTGTTTTCTTGTTAGTCCTGGGTCTCAAACCCAGGGTCTTGTGCATACTACGCAAGTACTCTCCTACTGAGCCACATCCCCAGCTCCTAAAGGTTTATTTTATTCATATAAATGCAGATGATGTTCATTTTAGGATGTTTTGAAGTTAAGCGTAAGTAGCAAAGGTGTCTGTTATGCCACCCCTTGGACATTCCCATTTTTGGCATACGCTTTTACTCTGAAATTATATCGTATAATTCTACATCCTGCTTAGATTTTCCTTAACATTTAAAAATGCCTATGGTACCTATAAGGTACATATAATCCTTGCATTTAGGAAGATGAGACAGGAAGATTGCAAGTTTGAGGCCAGCCTGTTCTACATAGTGAGTTCCAAGTCAGCTTGTACTACATAGTGAGATCTTTTCTCAAACACAGATAAATGAAAAACCAATTACCACAACTACCATGATATAAAAATCTCAAGGCTGAGGGCTTGGTGTAGTGGTTGACACCTGTAATCCCAGCAGTTTAGGAGGCAGAGATTAGGAGGATTACCATTCAAGTACAGTCTATGTTAAAAAGTTAGTGAGACCCCCTACTTCAGCAGAAGAAAGCTGGGTGTGGTGTGCACTTCTGGAATCCTAGCTACATGGGAGGTGTAAATAGGAGGATCATGATCCAGGCTGGCCTGAGCTAGCTGGACCTGGGCAAAAAACTTGAGACCCTATTTGAAAAATAACTAAAGTGCTTATACGGTGACACCCTGAGTTCAAACTCCAGTACCACTACCACAACAACAAAAGTCATGGCATAGAGGACATGGACCCTCTGTTTCACTACATGATGACCCTTAAAGGTTGTGATGCTGTGCACATCAGTGTGTAACACTGTGTCATTTGTGATCTTTGCAGCACCAGATGCCTCTCTTCCGGAAGAAGATGGTGTGGGAAATCCTTCATCAGCAGTTGCTGTGACAGTGCCCCGCCTAGTCCCTCTAGCTGCTGGTGGTTCTTTCATGGACATTTCCATATACCTCATGCATCGTGGGCTAAAAAGTCCCCACGTCATTTCTGTTCTCTCACAGGTACTGAGCTGTCAAAAGTGCATGAAGGCCTCTCTCAGAACTGTAGTCCTGACTTGGGATGCAGAGGGGCTGCTTGCAACCCTGTCTGTAAGGCTGTGCTTGCTCAGAGCCCTGGACTGTTCAACCCACACAAGAACAAATGCTAATTAATACGTTTTTCGTTTTAAAGAGTTATTTCCCTATGAATGTGGGAAATGCAGGATTTATTCTATGAATTGTTTTTTCTGTGTGTTTGTTCACGTGTATTCATTCGTTCATTCATTTGCAAACATTGGGCAGTGGCCATTTTCTGCTGCTCTTTTACAATTAACTCTAAATTACTTGTGTGAACTATTTATTTCTGAAAGAATGTTAATCAAACTGCCACTCCTCGCTGAAGATCAGGAGGGACATCAGCAGAGGGAGGAAGTTTCATTAATGTTTATAACGCTGGAGTAGTAAATGCCAACTTGAAGTTAGGGGTCTTTTTTTTTTTTTTTCTTGAGGCTTGAAAATGCCAGGAGAAATGAAAATGCACTGTGTAGGAGTCTGGTTTCCTTTCAGAGGAAGTCTGACATGACAGCATTGGCACAGTGTTGTAGAAATGTGGCCAAGGAACTCAAGCTTCCACGTCTTCAGAAGAGTGTCATTGTCAAAGAGACTTCCCTTGCTGGAATTGAGGTGATTTACTCTTGAAACTGGATTTGAAATAACTGTAATCCTAAATCTTTATTTTTGTTCCAGGTCCGGTTGAGTATAAACCTCAGAATTGTAAGGGCTGGCCTGAGTTATTCAGTTTAAAGCTATTTTTCCTCAAAGTTTTTTTTTTCTATATATTATGCTGAAATTAAGTTTTGTACTCATTAAGATTAACATATTCCCCACTCTATCCCACTGAAATCTGTGGAAGATGATTTAGTACCTGGCTCTGAGGTTACCAGTTATACAATAATCTATTTTGCATATGAAAGTTTGTATTTAACTTTTTTGTTCATTAAAAACCTTACAGATGTGGTTATGCTTTCTTACCTTCAGAAAGTTTAGAGTTGGTCAGAACATATTTTGCAAGATCTAGTGCCTAGTGTTGCTTTTATGATGTAATAAAAGGTTGTCTGGCAGAACCTGAAAAGTATATGCTGAAATGATTTCTCATTCTCATTCTTTTCCTACTTCAGCCTTCCAAACTTGTTCTGGTACATAAAGACGAGGTAAAACCAGAAAAATTGTATGTTAGCTATGAATTTATATGTCTGCCCTGTGGAAACCCTGGCTGCTGGTTGCAGAGGCAGAGTGGTTGTAGCTATTGCTGCTTTCTCTGAAACTTGCAAAGGTTTTGACATGGGACCTAGGACCTGCACTGTGGACTGAAACTGCTGTGCCTGCTTGATGGCCAGCCCAGCGGCCAGGTGATGTCTTAGGGTGTGCTGGTCACCAAGTGCACAGAGACCCCTTCCTGCAGCTCTGATCCTTTTACCTAGGCCTTCTAGAGCTGGGCCAGTGAGTGCTAGGATCAGGTAGCTGGCACAGCCAGAAAAGCCCAGAGGTTGGCTAGGTCCATACTACACTAAAAACCTGGTTCCCACTGGGTCCCAGAATTTTCATCTGAAGATTTAGGACCTTAGTTGAGATCTGTTGCATGTTGAGCAAGTCCTGTTTAGAATAGTAGTTTATAATCTGCCCAAGTGATGCTGAGGTTAATGTATTTGTAGTTGAGGGAACTTGTTTTTTTTTTTGAGACATGGCCTTACTGTGGAGTTAGGCTTGAACTTGGTATGCGTCCACACTGGTCTCAAACTTATGATCCTCCTGCCTCCATCATGAGTGCTGGGATTTTAGGCACTGGACATCATGCTCAGCTTGAGGAGCTTCTTAAGAGCAGCTTTCACTGAGCTTTCCATTCACGTGTACTCTTTAGAAAAGCTCTTCACCATCTTCAGGACACAATGAAATTGATGAGTGCAGAGCATTAAGCTAGAGCAGCACTCTGCTTTGCCCTAAATTCCTGAATTGGAGGTGAGATGCTACAGGCTATGGTTCTCTAGGCTATCACATACCTCCCTTTGTGCAATGAAATGTGTGGGCATTAGAACTTTTATGTTCAAAGTGCTCATGAGAAAAGTGGTTAGATGATAAAAAAAAATGCCTATTGATCATTATGTCAGTAGCACATTAGGATTAAAGCTAGTGATTTTTTAAAAAATTGCAATAGTTTGGGGCCTATAAAAAGTTGCAATGAAGGAGATAGGTATGTCAGTACATGCCTGTGAGCCTAGCAATTGGGAGGCTGAGGCAGGGGGATTACAAATTCAAGGTCAGCCTGGGCTACATAGCAAGGCACTATCTTAAAAAAAAAAAATTGCAGTGAACCATTGTTCTTTTTTAGTAAATAGTTTTTCTCAAATATCGATAAAGATTTGAAAAAATACATACTTCTGGTGAGCAAGTATCTTTCTCATGCTTGACCTTACACCAGAGCTGTGATTTGGGTGGAGGAGAAATAGACATGAAGTATCTGGGAGGTGTTCTTGGGTACCCCATATTCTACCCCAGTTACTTAGGCGGTTGCTACCACTGCTCTTTTCTTCCTCTAAAGTCCCAAGCATAACTTAGGACCTCCAAGTGGAGTTTATCTCTATTGTGAGAATGTGCTCAATGATGGGACCACAGTGTGGGTGTGGGGAAAATGCTGGAGATACAGTAAACCTCAGATGCAAACACATAAGCAATATGAGTAAGTTCAGCTTGTGGTAATTTTAGTACTATAGTTAAACCCACATGTGTATATTGGCTTTGGACCTAACTGGGAACCTACTCACTTTATAACAGTTAGAGAAACCTCCATGCTCCTGATAGTCAAATTTTTGGTATTTTACTCATTTTCTAAGTTGGAGATCTAACTGGCTGCATTCCTTTTTCTTTTAATTTACTTAATATATATGAGGGTAGAATTTTGGGTATATTGGAATAGGTGTTGATTTTACCTATTTACCAATAAATTTAGTGGTTTTCACTTTTTTTATTGCAACTAATATATTTTATGTTGCAGGTAGTATAAACACACACAACTATTATGTTATTATATATGCATGCGCAAATGTTTCACAGCACTATTTATCTTTACTAGTAGTCTGATAATTTTATTTCTATTTTTTTAAAATATGGGTCATGACCACCAACTTTATTTCTTCACCCACTAATGGATAGATATACAGTTGTTTTTCATTTGTTCCTTTTGTGCTGCTGGGGTGCCAACCTGGGGCCTTGTACATGTTACACATTGCTCTATCACTGAGTTAACACCCCCAGACCTGAATACCTAGTTTGAAAAATACTGCTGATAATGACAAACATTGTAAAGAGTGTTATACTAATAAATTATGTCTCAGCATAGCATTTCTCAAAACATGGATATTGAGCCACTTTCTATGAGACACCTGTGGGACTGTTTGTGGAACACACTTGGGAAAATGCCAGAAGTTCTTGGAAGCATGCACTTCGGGTACACATAGGGAAGCCCCCGTGAAGTACCACTCTGTTCCTTCTTAGAATCTCCATTAATTATATTAGTAACAAGTATTCATAGTAAAAAAAAAATACTGATAGAAGGTAAAGAATAACAATGCTACGATTTTGCCCAGAGTTAATAACTCATAACATTATAATTCTGGTATATACCTTATCCTTCTTCCACTCATATACATGTTTGTGTGTGTATGTGTGTGTATAGAGACAGAGAGAGTTATTAACAAATACAGAATCATGCTATACATATCTTGATATATCTTGAACATATTTTCATGTGAATGAATATATCATTTTAATTGCTTCATAGTTTCCCTGGGTATGGCTATAACATTTAGTTATAATGTAATATAATGAACATTACACAATGGTTTGGCTTATTTTCTTAAGACAAATTTTTTAGGATTAAAATCTCTAGGTTAAAGGTTATGTACATTAGCTGAGCATCATGGTTCATGCTTGTAATCCCAGCATTCAGAAGATAGAAGTGGAGGATCACCAGTTTGAGGCCAGGTTGGGCTACAGAGTAAGACCCTGTATCAAGGGGGAAAAAAGTTAAATATATTCAAAAACAAAAACCAAGGGAAAAATCACTCATTAATATCTTGACTTATATTTTTCAGCATAGGATAATGACTTGTGTTTCAGTAGGTTTAAGTCTTACAATATTTTTTATTTGTAGGCCTTCGATTCTTTTTTTTTTTTTTGGTGGTACTAGGGTTTGGACTCAGGGTTTCACACTTGCTAGGTAGGTACTCTTTGACTTGAGCCATGCCTCCAGCCCCTAGAATTTTTATTCTATACAAAAAATTTCCAAAATTTATCTGTACTTAATTTCTATTTTTGTCTGATTGTATTATAGTAGTGGTTTGTTGCTAGAACAAAGGCCATAATAATAGTGGTTTAAAGAAAGAATTTTCTCTCTTCAGTACCAGTTAGCCTAGGCAGTCTAGCACTGAAGTAGCAGGTTCATTGTGTCAGGAGTTATTCTTAACACTGGCTTCTTTTATGCATTTTTATTAGCAAATATTAATGATATGAAATACATGGTTCATTATGAGATTTTTATATATGTGTGTAACTCACCCCCTGTCTTATCCTTTGTCTCTCCTTCCCCTTCCAACTGGTCTCTTTCCTATTCTCAAGTAGTACTCCTTTCATTTTTAAAAAAATCTATATTCCATGTAGGAGAAAAAACATATTTGTCTTTCTGAGTTTGGTTTATCTCACTTAACATTATCTCCAGTTCTGTCCATTTTCTTCCAAGTGACATAATTTAATCCTCTGTTGCTGAATGAAACTCCATTATACAGTGACTTCCATAGTGGCTGTACTAATAGTGGTTGTACTAACTTTCCATAATGGGTGTACTAATTTACATTCCTACCAACAGTGGATGAGGGTTCCTTTTTCCCCTGCATTCTCACCAGCATTTATATCTTTTCTTGATCATAGCCATTCTGACTGGGTTAGGACAGAATCTCAGTGTGATTTGGATTTGCACTACCCGATGGCTAAGGACCTTGAATGTTTTTCATGGATGTATTGGCTGTTTGTGCTTCTTTTGAGAACTGACCAGTTCTTTGTCCATCTATTGATTGGCTTATTCTTTTGGTGTTTAATGTTTGAGTTCTTTATATATTCTGTATATTAATTCTCCTGCCAGATGAATAGTGGCAAAGATTTTTACCCATTTTGTAGGCTGTTTCTTCTCTCATAATTGTTTTGTCTGCTATGCAGAAACTTGTCAACTTGATGCAATTCCATTTACCATTTCTTGCTATTGTTTCCTAGGGAATCCTAATTCCCTGTGCCTACATACTGAAGTGCTATAGTTTCAGGTCTTGCATCAAGGTCTTTGATCTATGTTGAATTGATTTTTGTACAGGGTGAGAGACTGGCATCCAGTTTCAGTTTTTTACATGTATCTAGTTTCCCAGCACCATTTGTTAAAGAGTGTGTCTTTTCTCCAATGTAAGTTTTTGGCTCCTTTGTGAAGAATCAGGTGACTATGGCTGTGCAAGTTTATTTCTGAGTCATCTGTTCTGTTTCATTGGAGCTATTTGTCTTTTGTGCCAGTGTCAAGCTGTCTTCCTGTGGCTCTGTAGTATAATTTAAAGTTGTACTGTAGAGTATCGTGTAGTCTTGTGATACCTTCAGCATTACTTTTCTTGCTCCAGATTTCTTTGACTGTTTGAGGTTTTTCATGTTTCTGTATGAATTTTAATCTTTTTTTTTATTTCTATGAAGAATGTAATTGAGATTTTGAGTGAGATCATATTGAATCTGTAAATGATGTTAGGTAATATGGCCCTTGTCACAATATTAGTTTTGATGATTTGTAAACATGGAAGGTCTTTCCATCTTCTAGTGTCTTCTTCAGTTTCTTTCCTTGGTGTTTTTTAGTTTTCATTGTAGAGGCCTTTCAATTCCTTGGTTAGGTTATTCCTAGGTATATTTGTTTGTCTTTCTTTTTAGGCTATTGTGAGTGAGATTGTTTTCCTAATTTCTTTCTTAACATGTTTATTATTAGAATATAGAAAGGCAACTTGTTTTTGCTTGTTGATTTGTGTCCTGCCACTTTGCTAAAAATTGTAAGTTT